ACACATCCCAGCCCGCCCCTCCTGCAGCGGAGGGTGCAGGTCGGCCCCAGCTTTGCTCGGTCTCCGCTTCCTTTCATGGGCACCAGAACCACATGGCAAACAAAGTGCCTCTGCTCTCTCTCCAACAGTCCAGCGCTGTGCCCAGCTTTGTGCCGATTCCAGGCTCGCCAAACATAATTTTCCACTGTATACCTAACGTGACACCTTATTTTTAAAAGTACATGTTTAACTCTTAACTACTCAGAGCCCATGGTTACAGACTGGAAGCTAGGAAGCCTATGTTCTTGATGCTTCTGCCCTCCCCCCGCTAATCATAAAATAGCAAGTCATTGCCCCCCATTTCTGTTTTTCTTCTTTTTGGCAATTCTGGCCTCTAAAGCATGATCAAGCTGCAGTTTGCACAGTGCTTACACGGCTCGCTGCCTCATGCCAGACACTGGACAGGCGGGGGGGAAGGAGGGACAGGGCAGTCCCCGTCCCTCTCCCGGAGCCCCCTCTCCCTACCCTGGGTGCCCACAGTGAAAGGGGGTAAGCAACTTGCCAGTTTCATTTTTTCTATTTCAACGGAGCAAGTGAAAATTTGTCCTCCCACTCTTTTTTCCTCCCTTTTATATAGGTACCTTCTTTTTTTTTTTTTTTTTCTTTGTCCCTGGTTTCTCCTTAAAGCTTTCTATCGTCCAAATACAAAACACTGACTGGGTTTACCTTACCAAGCTGGGTAAAGGGGGTAGTAGCATGGCTGTGTGTGTTCTTTCCTCAGTGAGAGAGTCACCTGGCCAGCCAGAGCCCTGCTGCTTTTCTCTTAGGCCCATGAACTTCCCAGCTGCTGGCCAGGGGCTGCAGGGCTGAGCTGGGGGCTGAGCTGGGAGCCGCGCAGAGAAAAGCTGGCCGGCTCCTCCTCGGAGCTCACTCAGTAACGCCACGTCGCAGCCAATTGAGCTCGCTGGGTACACTTGTGAGAAGAAAGGTTGTGCCTCTGCGGAGCGTCAGGCCAAAATTTCTGCTCCAGCCCCCAGCAACGGATTCTTTGGGGGTGTCTTAAAAGGCCATTTGGGAAACGGACTTCCATGCAGCAAATAGGACTTGGGTTAAATGGCTACATTTGTTTCCCCAAGTACATCAGGGGGGAAGCTAACCTCTTCAGAGCATGTGTTCATTAAAGATTTGAAGTGGGGTGGGAAGCAATAAAAAAAAAAAAAAAAAAAAAAAAAAGGCCAGTTCTCTTGTGAGATAGTTTTTTGTTCCTATCAATTGAATACTCTCTGAAAAGTTTCAAAAAGAGACTGGGAAGAATGTGTTTGCTTTGATCCAACATGTGGAGTGTTCCCCACTACAAATGCCCTTTAATTTAGAAACATTGTTGAAAAGTCTGTTTGAAAGTACATACAAATATAATATGTAAATAAGCTCTAATTAGTTATTTCAATTAATTACTTTCTGTTTCTGCTTCCCAGCTCTCATTTTCTCCCCATCATGTTGCTTGTCAGAGTCCAGCTCTGGCCCCCTCCAAAAAAATGTTTTCCCAACAGAAATTACTGAGAAAACACATTTCCCCTCTGTTAAAAACTTTATAATGATAGTGAAATCCCAGATTCTGTATCTTTATAAGGAATTGTTTCAGACATTTTTTTTTTTAGCCTATGATTTGCTAGTATATTGAAGAAGGAAATCTTGCAGTTAATTGAAAGAATGGGTGTTTCCTTCTTCAAATAAACAGTGTGTGTTGGTTTTAGAAAATGAATCTACATCAGGCTACCTACCAACTAGCATCTAATCTTTCCCGACCACCCTCTGTTCTTTCATTGGACTTGAAGACGGAAAGTTTTCATTCTTTCTAAGTCAACTAAGATTCTTCTCAGTGGAAACAATGGAAGCTCTGGGACAACACGAGTACAGTGAACTCAGGTTGTTCCTGCTCAGCAAAGTTTTGGAAATAGATTGAGAACCTGAAATATTGATTTGGGAAGCCTAGAAAGTAAACCAACGACGGTGTGATACATTCTGAGCTTTTCCCTGGGGAAATGCACTTTACTTGAATCAAATTAGAACGCGAGAGCTTGGAGGGCCTTGGCAGTCACCTGGGGACCAGGGAGCAGCGCTGCGTTTACCGCCTCAGCTCCTGGGGGTGGTTGGGCAGAAATGCACATTCCTGGGCCTTACTCCAGTCTACAGAATCGAAATCTCTGGGGCGGGTCTAGGCTTTCCACAAACGTTTCTAGAAAACGCTGATGCTCAGCAGATTTGGGAAACTGCCGATTTAGGCTAGCCATTGATTCTGCAGGGAGGAACGCCGGCCCAGAGAGTCGATGGGCCAGATGCCCATGGTACCCAAGGCAAGAACAAGCTTTCTGACTCTAGACTTGTGCTGTCCGCACCATGTATCCAAGGCGGCCGAGGCAGGACTGTTAGGGTAGGTTGAAACCTACTTTTGTTACGAGGGGTGATTTCAACTCCAAGATTAGGAGAGGATGGTTCTACACAGGATATAAAGGTAAAGACACCAGGGACTAGAGGTCGGAGGTTTTTGTGCTGGGGCCTCTGTCTAAACTAAAACCTGAAGGAACCTCAGCCGTGTTGTCTGTTCTCTTTCCTATGAGCCTGGAGACCTATGCAAATAGGTAAGGCTGGTTAGCTCAGTTGTTAGCTCATGTAGTTGAGCCCCAGCACATGGACATGTGTGCCTGGCTGAGATACACATCTTTCGGCTATATGCTTTCTTAGAGTGCACATTTGTGTATTTTAATATTGCCTACATCCGTTCCATCTAGGAAATGATAATAAAGTCATTAAAAAGCACAGACTGAAAAACACAGTACTACCTACTGAAGCATATGATTATCCAACAGATGCTTACTGATGTTTATTATACTCAAATAATCAGGAAAGATAAAATAACCTACATTTGTTTTTACAGTATTCTGCGGTGAGTTTCAACTGTGATGGTGATCCTGAATTTCCACAAGATCAGGAGAGGCTGAGTTCCAGTCAGCCTCACTTCCGCGTTCAGTCAGTGGACCGCCTGTTTTGGGGAACTGCAGTATCCCAGTGTCTAGAATATGTCACAGTCCACTCAACTCTGTCCCATACATAGTCCACATAGGAGCACGTGCGTAATGTGGAATTCTTAGGATAGGCAACGCATTTTCATAGGGAAATGAACAAAAGTAGCCTGCTTCAAGAGGCAGAGCCAGGAGAGCAGGGTCCATTCCAGAACAACCATGGGAAATTAAAATCTCTCTGTAAGCATGTGGCTGTACGAATGCTAAATATTCCGTTTCTCCTCCCTTCCACATAAACACGTATTGATGGTCTGCTTGTGCAAAGCCTGTGTGAAGTGCTGAGGATAAAAAATTAGACCGGAGACGTTTGGCAGGGTGGTTCTGGCTGTCCCGGCACATGAGGAGGCCACCGAGTTGAAGGCAGTGTGGGCGGGGAGGCAGCAGACAGCATTCCAGTGTTCAGAGCTAGTGATTGTGACGGCACCTCCCGCGCGCGTCCCACAGAAGCGCCCTGTGTGTTGGGCTCTTCCTTATCTTTCACACATACCTCATTCCTCGGGAGCTCGGATTCCGTTGCTGTTCTAGGAAGGAAGAGTAGTGAGCTCTTGAAGCCTAACACCAACACATTTACTTCTGTCTCCCATGCCTCTATTTAAAAACAGGATCTCTCTCTCTCTCTGGCCCACGCACTGTGGAGCAGCTTAAATGCGGATGCCATTTTATCTGTGATGACAGTGAGAGTTCTGTGAGCTTTGTCATCCTTTTATGCAGACTATTCATGTGAATCAGTATCTGCTTTAGTTGGGGATTTGTTAAATAAATGTGTTTTAGCTCCTAATGGAAATGGGTGCAACACTGATGATTATTATAGCAGTAGTACTTTATTTTGTACCCATAGATGAAATTGGCTTAATGTGAGACTTCTTTGAAAAATGTAGTTCTTAGCACTCAACCATGAACGGGGCCATATGGAAGGAGTTCTAAAATGAAAGCTGTAAATCAAAAAATGTCAGAAAGCTGCTGCTGTTGATGTAATCATGACTACCTGACCAGGGTTTTGTCCATTGGATTGACAGTGACAGAGTCTCTACACTCGCCAGCAGAAGCTAGTTCCACCTAAAAACCAATGGCTCCTCCGTGGCAGAGCCATGGTTATTACCAGGCCCCTGACGGTACCAGGCAGTGCTCACAGAACCATGGACTTCCTTGGACATGAAAAGGGCCTTAGCCATCACTCGCAGGCAACCAATAGCCTTGAGTAATCGGCAGGATTTGGCAAAGTAGAGATTGGAGAAAAGGACCTTGTGTGAGGAGAAATAATGTGCACCAAGATATGGAGGGTTGAGAGGGCACACTATTTATTTGGGGAAACAGTGTGGAGAGTTCTCTGACTGGAATAAAGAGGTTATATTCCCAATGGAGAATAAGCAATAGGAGTAGGTAGTAGGAAAGATGAGTTGGAGGCCAATTAATGGACAGATTCCTTTCATTTATTTTAGAAGCAAAGGAAGGTTCTACCTATCAGTTTTTAGGATCATTTTAGAGTCAGGCAAGAATAGAGCCAAATCCAACTCTACCTCTTAATAGCTGGGTGACCTCAAGACAGAATATATAACCTGGCTAAAACCTTAGTTTATTCATCTGTGCACTTTAGCTGATCTCTCTCACAGAAAGGTGTGACTTATATGAGATCCTGTGTGAGGAGCCCCAGCAAGAGCCTCGTGAAAACGGGATCTCAGAGGGAAGCAAGGAGGAACACGTGGGGTACAGGGAGGCTTACCTGCTGAAGAGCTGGAATCAGACCAGAAATGGACCAGTTTCGGTGATCCTCCAGGGGGAGGGAGCTTATGGCTGGGAAGAAGGATGCATGCATATACATGGATTCTCTGTGACTTCTGTCCTGTTGTGGGATTTTGTTTAACTTGAGGTGAGGGTTGGGTAACCTTGTCCTGTGCTGTTAAAGGCACAATAATCACAGACCTTTGCTTTTGTCTTGAACAGGATGTCAGCGATCTATTGGCCTTTCCAATGGGAAAGCCAAGGTGTGCAATTACAGTGGTTGGTATTACTGCAGCAGCTGCCACGTGGACGACAGTTTCCTCATCCCCGCACGCGTAGTCCACAACTGGGATACGTCAAAATACAAGGTAGGTGCAAAAACTCTGTGCACTTCATCACGGCAACTTGTTCATGCTGTCACGTGGATTATTAAGATAATGACATGAGAATTCGTAGCGAACTTGATGAGGCAGTTTTATAAAAGCTACAAGATCTTCTCCCACTTTCTACTCTGCCGTGTCCTCTCTCTTCCTTCTGTGGTCATCCCTACCGGAACTCACGTGCCTATTCCCAGTTCTAGCTCCAGCCTTGCTGCCTAAAGTGAGGTCTGAGGTAATTAATTCCTAATGGACACCCCAGCTTTAGTGTTAAACCTAGCTGTCTTCTATCCATCTGGTTGGTTAGCTACCTTGCACAGCTTCTCCACCCTTCCATAAACCACCTTCCTAGCAGGTACTAGGAGTTGGCAAGGTGAGGAATCCAGCCCCACACTGAGTGGCACTTTAGGCTTAGGATTTTTTTTATGGTGCTGTGCCTGCCACATAGCAGAGAAGTCTGATACCTGATCTGACTTCAGTTTCAGTACACCCCAAGTGGGCTTTATCACCTCCCAAATGTCCCCCCAAGTACACATGGCTCCACCAGTTACCGCTGTCAGTGCTGGGAGACCTACTGGACGCCCCTCTGCCCCCTCCCCCTGCCTAATCAGTTAGCAGAAATCATGTGCAGAGTTATAGCTCTTGAGATCATGCTGTCCACTGCAGCCACCACTCGTCCACACTAACTTGAACCCTCAGCATCACTCATGTGATGGAATTCACTAGCTTCCTAGCTGTGCTTTCTGCTTTCAAGTCTTGCCCCAGCAATATTTCAAAAAAAAAAAAAAAAAAAAAAGCCCTAATCTCACCTGGGGTGAATTTTATACTCTCCTCAGCCTGTTTCTTCACATTCAGAGTGGAGATAATAATAGTACCTATTTCATAAGGTTGTTCTTTGCTTAAATAAATGATTCACAGAAAGCACGTCGGGCAATGCCTGGTACATATAATAAGTGCCTGGTTAATGGCAGCTTTTACATGATTGTATGTAAGATAAATACAAATCTCTTAGCCTGACACAGAGACCTTTGTGACCTCTAGTCCCTACCTTTCTAGCCCCTTCGCTCATTACCTCCCTGCCTCCAGAGTCTCTTCAGTAAGATCACACACCTCCCTATCCCCAGTCCTGCCGTTTCACTCCTCTTGCCCTCACTCAGCACAGAAAATCCTAAACCCAGCTTAAACCTCATTTCCTCTCCTGATTCTTTCCTTCCCCTCTCCCAGTTATCATTCTCTCCTCTGCATCTTGTACTTGACACTCTGCGTATAGGCTATAAATATATTTGCCCTGTGTGTATTAGATAAAAACTTACTGAGAAGGAAAGAACACCAAGTTGAATTTGGTTTAGACAGCTTAATCTGCTTGGAACAGGGATTTGACAGCCAAGAGAGGTGTGTAGAGAGCAAGTGAGTGAGGCACTCCTAGCCCCATGATCACTGAGGGCTTAGGCTGGGGCACATGCCAGCGGAATATATGCCAATCAGCTGAGCTAAAGCAGAAAAGGTGCCACTGATGAGGAAAATGAGCAATTCAGGCATGGTTTATGGAGATGTGAAAGGAGGAGGAAATCCGGTCTGTTTGCAGAGAACTGTGAAGGCCACCCAAATCATCCATTTAGCCATCGCTGACACTTGCAATCTCTACGCAGCAGGCATTTGCCATGGTGGTCATTCAAATGGCAGGGCTTGATTTTGAGAGGATAGGTAACGGATTGAGATGCTGGGCACCCTCCCCTCCTCCATGTTGCACGTGAGGAGGATCTGCTGTGTCAGACCATTCCTCCTCAGGGTGTCAGTGAACAGCAGGAGAGTTTAAAGCAAGAACAGAGCTGGTCGATTTTATCTGGATCATCTCTCACAGGCACTAAGCAACTATATTCCATTTAGTGCAGTGTCTATCTTTGCTCAGATGCAGATTTAACTTAATATTCCTAATTGGGAGGATCAATTCAGACCTATCAGTTTCCAAAACCAGACATCTTTCTGTGAGATCTGCCTGCTCTTTCTCATAGTGAGTACGTGACTGGCCGTTGAAGCCAGTGAAAGAGGGTTTTGCAGAACAGGATGAAGTCTGTCATCTTAAGCGTTTCCTTGTCTGCCCTCTGGAGAAGTAATAATCCTAATGACTTTTAAAGCAGGATTTCATCTGTTTTCTGGTGTACCTCCTGCAAATTGGGTTGAGCTCCAGGATTACCCTGCAGCTAAGCCCTATCCTCACATTTTCTAATGAAATTCTCGTTGACTATAACTTCCCTCCACCGCCCCATTCAAAAATACCAGCATGAGAAAGAGGAGGTAAGGAACTCAGATTTAGCCTCAACTCTTCCTAATAGTTCCCCTGTGTGGTACTTTTTAAAGATATTTTTGTATCCTAGCCAGAACAGCCACATTCCATTTCGCTAGGGGTTTTCCATGTTACGTAAACCATTTCCTCTCTGACACTTTGAGAAGCATTCAGAGTGGGAGCGTAGTCGCTGATGGGGAAAACCACTTGTTCGGAGTCATTTGGAGATTTTGAGAACAAATTGTAATTAAACTTAAGATCTCCTGATTCCTCCTCCATTAGCCCACAGCGCCTGTTTTAACAGGACCAAGACGTGTTATGATTGGGATTGATTTCAATAAGACAGGCTTTCACCATGATGTTTCAGAGATGGGAAGAAAACCTTATACCAAAGCAATGAGTGGTTATTTATGGGAAAATTATTTTTCCCTTTTGCAATTTTTATTCTCCTAATTTTCAGTAATGTGACTATTTTACTTTTATTATTTTGTAAATTTGGACTTCGTTAACAAAATATAAGTTAAAATGTATTCTTTTTAATGCCCCAGAATTAGAATTATGACTGTTCTGTCCTGCGATAAAAAATTTTCACGTGCTTTAATGTGGTGTAGGAGGCTGTTTTTCCATAAAGAAATGGCTGTGTGCCACTATGTCTTTATTTATTTTTTAATATACTTTCACAAATTTCAAGATTCAGAAAGTACAGAGGAGATTTTATATATATATATATATATATATATATATATATAATCTCCCTCCCTGTTCTTCCCTCAGGCAAGCAAATTACTCCTTTCTTATGTATCCTTGCAGAGGTCATTTCTCAGGCCTGTGTTTACACAGAAATGGCAGGAGGCAGTAGAGTACACAAGCTGCTCTTGGAGAGCTTTCCATTTAGATCATAAAACTCTTCTTTGGTTTTTTTTTAAAAATAGCCATTCCATCATGAATTTCACACACATCAATTTATCCAACCTGACTTTGTTTTTTTTAATGGACATTAGGTTTTCCCAATCTTTTGCTGTTATGGACAGTGATTCAAATGAATAGCTTTATGCATCCTTTTGAATATAAGTTCTTCCATTTATGAGTGAGACTCCCTGCAGATAAGTTCCTAGGTGTATGTATAGTTGTGAGGTTCTGTGCTGTACTTTTACCTTCTATCTTCTTGCAGGTGTCCTTCTTCCCTTAGTATCCGCTGTCACGTCTGTGGTCACTGTGCTGCCTCTAGCTGTCCTTTCCCATTTTATTTCCTCTAAATAAGGCGAATCACATAGATGCAGGGCTATGGAAAAAGAACTCCCTCACAGATTGCAGCACAGCTGCAGAGTTGAGTCCTTATAGCTTAAACCAGGGGTGGGGAACGTCTGGCCCGCGGGCTGGATAAAGCTTATGAAATCACTTGGTCTGGCCCTGCCAAGGCAACTGCTTACTGAATTCCTATTTAAAATTCAATAAATCTAAGAGCGTTTTTCATAGCAATGTAAGTTTATGTTAAGTGAATTATATTAGCGAATGATGTTATAAATATCCAAATGATCCTTGGCAGGAAAAGGTTTCCCACCCCTGGCTTAAACTATTTTGTTCTAAGGTAAAAGAGCTTTGAAAAAAATTTCATTTATGTTAGTAATAAACACTACGTATTATTTAGTAAAATACTAATGGGTCAATGAACTGTTGACCCTGTAAAACTGTTTCTAATGCGAATGGAATGGGGTCATGGAAAGAATGCCAAGTAAAACCGTTCATTTAAAAAAAAAAAAGAGTATTGGGTTCATCCATCTGCACTTGTGAGCCGGGTTTTCACTCTGACTTTCCACAAATTTGGTTGGCAAGAAGTAGGACAGTAGCTTTTAGGTGAAATATAGTCGGCATTCACATATAACTCATGCAATATTTATCTGAACAAGAAACTCCGTCACATAAACTTTATCACCTAAGAATGCCATTGGCTTCCTTCCCCAAGTAACTCTATATTTTTAAACATTTTCTCTTTTGAAAAGCTTTTAAATTACAGTGGAGTCTGAAAGAGGAATCCTCATACCAGCATGCAGGCCCATTTAGAACTTAGGGGGGAAAGTGCTCTCTTTTGCAAAAAAAAAATGGCATTTCCTGCTGCATTTGGAGCCCTCTCAGAAATGTCCTCACCAGAGCACATGATTGATTCTCAAAGGCACGCATGTGCTCGGCTCGGCCTGCGGGGAGCTGTTCGCACACCCGGCAGCCGCGGTCACAACACGCTCTGTGTTCCTAACACTCGTTAATAACCCGCAGGGCAGCGCCTCGGCCGTGATTGAAACGAGCTGTTTTTGTTTTTAGTGATTTCAGTTTATGAATGCTGACGTCAGTAGCTGCCGTCCTATTTGTCTTGCTGCTTTTACTGTCTCTGTAAAAGACTCTCTCCCCCCCTCCTTTCGGGCTTAAGTGCCACCTGAAGAGAGAAGCCTTTTAAGGCCTGGGAGACTGGCCAGTGCCCTTTGTCCTTCTGTTCACCTACTAAAAGGTAGCATTGTTAGCCTGCTTCAGCAGGGCCCTGGCTCAGTATAAACACTGCTCAATGGGGCCGGGAAGACTAATTGAATTGGACAATACATCATTTTCCAGCAACAGTTTCAAGTGGGTTGTGCTGCATTTTCCAGAACACCGTTCGTTTTTCCCTCTTTTAAGATATTTAAAATTGCAAATATTGAGCTAGGATAAATAAAGTCTATTTGAACCCGATCCTGTCTTTCCCCACTGAGCTGTGAGCCACAGGAGCAAGGGCCCAGTGTCTGGCATGTACCTGCGCCTCTGCCTCAGAGCGAGGCCAGGGTTCTTTCCAGTCTGGTAAAACAGTCAAGGCTTTGGCAGATGCGAGGTGCGTCTCTGGAGCTGGAGTTACAGAGACTGTAAACGTCATTAATTCTAGCTCTGCAGGACCCCAGAGGATTACACAGCACAGCAGGTACCTCAAAAATAATTGCTTTTAAGGGGAAAAAAAATTATACTTTTAGTAGAAAAAAAATGACTCCTATTTTGCATCTCTGTAAGGAGCATAAACTTTTATGAGTTTTATAATCAAAGTAAACAATAATATTGAATTTCATAAACATCTGTTTTTAATCAACATGCAGTAGCCATACATTTAGTTATCACATGTGCATATGGATGGGTTCTCCTGGCTGTGTCTGCTTGTTGCACTCTCCTCTGCCCCATCCTTGCCCACCAAGTGAATCTATTTCTAGACCATAAGCCAATGTCACCTGTTTTGCCAGGCCTGCCTGGCTCCTAACCGCCCTTCTCCAGCAGCACAGGTGACTTCTCCCTCCTTGGTTACCTGTGGATCTCACCCATTGTTCTTTCATGGTAGATGACAGGCTATGTGCTACGTGTATACTTTGTTTTAAGTATTTGTCTATTGTCCTAAACACTGAGTCCCTTGAAGGCAGGGACTGTATCCTATTTAACTTCAGTAGCAAGCTTCTAACCTGGAGTGTGAAACAGTGGATTTCCATTTTCTTTTTCATAAGCAAAGTTGTTTGTATGGTACTCCCAGAATTAGAGAGGTTTTGGAGGGAACTTGAAGAAGTTTTACCTTTCATCAATAGAGCTAAGCCGATTCTGTGTAGCAGTAGTGAGTCCATGTCTCAGTGAATTAGAATGTACAGGCCCCCAGATTACCCATGTGTCATGCATTATTTAAGCAACCCGCCCCCCCTCTCTTGGATGCATTATGTTTCTACTACTTACTTTTACTGATGACAGTGATATTTTATAGTCAACTTTGATTGTTTACTACCAGATGTAGATACAGAATTGGATGAATATGCTAGAGGCAGCCCAAGTTCCAAGTTGTTCTAATAAGAAAAACTCATTTCTGCTCATTAAAGAGTGTATTTGAGCCCTAACTGGTTTGGCTCAGTGGATAGAGCATTGGCCCACGGACTGAAGAGTCCCAGTTTGATTCTGGTCAAGGGCATGCACCTTGGTTGCGGGCTTAATCCCCAGAAGGGGGCGTGCAGGAGGCAGCTGATCAATGTTTCTCATCGTTTCTCACTCTCTATCCTTCCTCTGTAAAAAATAAAATAAAAAATAGATATGAATATATAGTTAAAAAAATAAAAGTGTGTATTTGAGTTTGTTTTCTATGCATTGAAATTATTCTGCACATATTTATTTTGCAAAGCATTATTATTACCTATTTTTTAAAAGTGGTATAGGATATACATACATGTATTTTTAAAATCAGGGAGTTTCCCTCTCTTCCCCCCCCTTTTTTTTTAACCTTTTTCTGGAAATAATTATAGAGTCACAGATAGTACAGATAGTACACAGTAGCCCTGTATCCCTTTCACCTAATTTCCCCCATTGGTTACATCTTAAATAATTAAAGTATATTAAAAAAAAAACAACAACAAAGAAAACTGACCTTGGTATACCGGGTCTGTGTAGTTCTGTGTCATTGTATCACGTGTGTAAATGCAGGAATTCAAGATACAGAATTAATGCCAGCTGAGTTTCTGGAAGAGAGAAGGAAGACAAACTTCACATTTAGTCTGGGCTCGTCACTTGGCTAGGGTGGTTAAGCTGCGGTTGGCGTTTGAGGCGGCGTGGACGGCCGGACGAGCCAGCAGCACTGATGGAGGACGTTGCATTTGCAGGTGTCTAAGCAGGCCAAAGAGTTTCTGGAGTACGTGTACGAGGAGCCCCTGATCGACATCCAGCAGGAGAACCCCCTGCTGTACCTGCACGCCGAGCCGCTGGCCACCGTGGTGCGGCTGCGGCAGCGGCTCAGGTCGCTGCGCGCCTATCTGTTCAGCTGCCGGGCGGCCGTGGCCGAGGACCTGCGCCGCAGGTAAGAGCCATACGTGTCAGGTGGCTCCAGTTTGTTCTCCTTTCCTGCCCGGGAGGGTGGCGACATGATCTCTAAGGGCCTTTCCAGCACAGAGCGGCTGGAATCCTGTGGTTCTGCCTCCGGGCTCATCGTGGGCTTTCTCCTCTGAGGCCCTCTATCAGACTGAGCCAAGCAAAATGGAAATAATTTCTCAGCATAAGTGCAGGCGACTGACCCAAGGCCCGAGTTCCTGGGACGGTGTTGGAAGACTTCTCTTACCTGCCGGTTAACTTGAGATAACGATGGTGGCAGTGTCTCTTCGTGGATCACTTCTGTGGTGTTTTTCCCGCTTTCAGATCCTATTTATCGTCAGTAAAAATAAGCATGTTTGAAATATTTCAGAACTTAAAAACATTTTTTTTCAGTGGGAAATAAGTAGGTAGGTGGTTATGCAAATCTTATTTGTCATGGAGAGAGACTTGCTCCTGGCTGCAGGCAGGAGGGCTGCCACGGAAACGCCCAGGTTCGGCCTTTTCAAGCTCCCTACAGCTTGTTGTCTGCGAGTTCAGAGAACACACAAGTCCATACGGAGCTCAGATCTCAAAATCAAATCAGAGTGAAAACATGCCTGCTCTCATCAAATTCCTCCTTTTACAGGGAGATTTTATTGGCATTTAAATGTTCACTCTTGGCTTATATAGACTAGCTTATACTTGACATAATTGTTGATGGTGTTCATAAGTCCCTAAAAATACCTTTAAAATTCTTTTTTGTTTTAATAGAAATGACCAAGGCATACATTAGTCGTGGGTTTTGGAGGTACGCCTATGTGCATAAGTACCTTTGGAAATATTAAAAGTGATATAGTTTGCTATTTGAGATCCAATTAGATCCATTGACACTGACATGACCCCAGGCATCCGAAGAAGACATTTTTAAAAGAATTCAATGTAGATGGTGAAGAATACATAATATGTAGACAAGCTCTCATAAAATAATAATGAAAAGGCAGCTGCCATAAAGCAAAATACTTCTCAGTGGTAGTCATTCTACTGCCTAGTTATTTTTTTTAGAAAGTGGTCAGGATTTGTTGCTATAAAGTCTAGGCACATCTTAATTCTAAAATATCAGGGCTTTCCAGAAAAGGCAGTAGAATTACACGTCTCAAACCAATTTACCAGCTAAACTATATGCAAGAATTTTAACATTCAGAGTATTTTCAGTACTTTTTGGCTTTCCTCAGAGCTAATTTTTCTTGAGCCGATATGCTTAGGTAATATTAAAATCTGCACATGGGAATTATGTTAAATACCTTTCTGATACAGTTTTACTTTGGTTAAATATGCCAAATCAGGGCACACATACAGAAATTAAATAGGAGATCCTCCCTCCATATGGCTGACTAAGAATACCTATGCTGTCCCTCGCAGTCCAGTGGTTTACCACCCTGTACTGCGCCATGGCCAGGCCACCAGGAAAGAAACGGAGGTTCTGGAGAGAAGGCACGCCCACCCAAGCCTGTGAGAAGGAATACAGGAACTTTTTTCTTTCCCTCAGTTTTTCTTCTCTGGACTGGTTCATGACCGTTCCGTAGCGCAGTGCCTGGCACAAGATGGGTGCTTACTAAATGTCGGATGGAAGGAGGGAGGGTGACTGGGTATTATGGTGCCACTTCAGACCACTGAACAGCAGCCAGTACCCTGATTTTGAGGAAGGAGTCGTCCTCAGATTCTTCTCTTCCTCACTTCCCGTATGTCACTTAGCACAGCGTCTGACCCATCCAGACCCCTTAAAAATAGCAGTTGAATAACAAATCTAATCAGCCGAAAAAGATGTATTTAGTTGGTTCTGTTTCTGGGATAAGTCTCAAATCTGTCCTCTTCTCCTCACTTCCAGTACAGCACCTGGTTTAGTCTCAGGATACTGCAGTCCCCTTCTGTCTAATCTATCTGTTTCTTCCCAATCAAAAAAGACAAATGATTAAAGAACAAGCATGGAATTCAGGATCTGCCCAAATCTGGTTCATTACATTGCTCTACAAGATATTCTCAAATACCTTGCACTTTACACACACGTAATTAATTTTGTTATTGTAGTTTTTCTGAATTTATAGGCTTGAGGTTACCATGTCTTTCCAACCTGGCACAGAGCAAAACATACAAGCATTCTTTCTACAGCCTTTGGAGGGCAGTGGTATGGGGATTTGTTTTCTTGAATGATTTCAAATTATTAATTTTGAAATGTGACTATTTACTGAAAGATGTCTAAGATTTCCTGGGCTGGGCCGTACTTCATATCAATTCTGCCTACTTTAGTGTCTACAAAAATAACCACAGAATCAAAGGAGAACCATTGCCCACCTAATATGCTAATATCCTGTTGCCGGAGGTCATCTCTTACCTGTCGTTCCCTTTTATATGGCATCTGTCTTTTTAGAACCATTAGCTGGCAGTACCTTTAGAGATGAGAAGCTTCTCCAAGGTTCCTTTTGTGTCACCTGGGGACACAACAAGAGTGGAGGAGTTTAAACCGTGAGAAGAACCTCTGGGCCCTACTGCTCTTACATATCCTCGATAGAAATTAGAGGACAGGGGAGCGGATAGACAGGGCAACAGAAAAGAGCAAAGAAAAAATCCAGCTCTTATCTGGTCGTAAAAGGCATTCTCTCCTTGCCTGGTTTTTACCTCGGTAGAGGAGCAGCCATTAATCTCCAGCAAGTAGGCCCAACACGCTGAAGACTTGTCAGCACCATATAAACAGAATAAAGCAAACTGTTAATATTGCTGTCGTGAGAAAACTGAAAACAGACTGATTAATTGTATTGGCGTTGGACCGCCAGGGAGCAACTTTGGTCGTCGCCTTATTAGGGAAGTCCCCGTCTGCTTTCAGGCCCTTCCTTAGGAGGGCCGGCCAGTTTTCATCCTCGCTGTTTTTGTTATTGTTGTTAAACGCACGCCTTGTTCTTGAACTCGCCCTGCAGATCTTGACTGGCAGAGGTAATTAGTTAGAAAAAGTCAGTGTCTTCCATGAAGTCTAGAATGTTTACAGCGCTGACAGTTGAGTTTCTGAGGACTGCCAGATGGCGACCCTGCCGGACTGGTTCAAGGCCTAGTTCACTTTTCATGAGGAGAGTTATTTACAGTGTCCACACGTGAAGGCACATGGAGAGCTGAGGGAAATGGAAGCGCTGTCGGGGCACACGGGTCTTTGGGAAGGCCCAGCCCTGAGTGTCCCACGGAACTCAGGAGCATGGGCCAAATGTGCACATCCAGCCACAGAGGGCGCCTCGGGGCCAAGTTTGGCCCTCAGGCACGTTGCGTTTGGCCTTTCAGGGATGCCCTGTTGTTGAAATAGCTCAACTGGCATGGCTCAGTGGTTGAGCATCAACCTATGGACCAGGAGGTCATGGTTTAATCTCTGGTCAGGGCATATGCCTGGGTTTCGGGCTTGATCCCAGTGTGGGGCATGCAGGAGGCAGCTGATCAGTGATTCTCTCTCATCCTCCCCCTTTCTCTTGGAAATCATTAAAAATACATTTTTTAAAAACTTAAAACGGTTGCTAACATTTCAATAATCAGGAGTTTTCACGAGCAAAGGGAAGCTGGCTGTCTGGTTTCTCTGAGGAAATCGGAAGTTCTGATTGCACAGCCTCCCTCGTGTCTGTCGAGCAGCCCTCAGCTTGAGGTCTTGGCCCCTCCACTCTGCTGTGGTCTCTGTGCCCCCACTGTCTCCCCAAACTCAGTGCCATGCGCTGTGAGATGCGTGGCTGCCCTGGCCTTCCTGTGCCAGCCCGCTTCAGATATTTATGTGGTACCCTTGTACGTAATCATAATTTCATCAGTTAAGAAGAGCTTTCCCATAAGTATGTTATTTGTTCTTTACAATAGCCCCCTTGAATGGGTGGGACAGCTGGTGTTTAGGCAGGAGAGAGAGAACTGTGACTTGGAGATGCTCCATGACTTGCCTGAGGTGATGGGGCTGGTGAGCAGGAGGGTCCACACTCGGAACCAGGTTCTCTGAGGTTCACATCACTGCTGCTTTCTTTCCCTGGCGTGCCGGTCATTGGTGAGGGTGATGTCCAGTCCAGACCCTGAAGAGGAACTGCTTTTAATAATCCTGAAGCCTTGATTGAGGTCCTCTGGGAGAGTGTGAGGGAAGGCAGGGAGTACTGTCCTGTGAGTGGGGAGGTGGGCTGACTGATGGCACCTCTGTGCTCATTGCCAGACTCAGCCAGTCCTGCAAGGTAGGCATGACCATGGCCAGCACGGTCTCTCCAGTCAGTGTTGACCAGACCTATACATTTAAAACAAAAATGTGGAGATATCTATAGGGTTGTCTGTAGCCAAAACAAGCTTCAACGTTGTCACCTGTTTCTCACTATCTTAATATATAATTAAATAATATGCAAATTAGACCACGACCTATAATGGGACAACAGACAGAAGGAGGGGCTGGGCGCAGCCCTAAGCCTGGGAGAAGAACATACAGGGGCGTCTGCTCCTAGCCTCCGAGGTGCCGCTGTGGACAGGCCCCCAGGGGACACACATACAACTTATTTAGTCCTTGGCTTAGATCAGTGGTCAGCAAACTGTCTCACGAGCCACATGCGGCTCTTTGGCCTTTTGAGTGTGGCTCTTCCACAAAATACCACAGCCTGGGCCAGTCTATTTTGAAGAAGTGGCGTTAGAAGAGTTTAAAATACTTGGCTCTCCAAAGAAATTTCAATCGTCGTACTGTCGATATTTGGCTCTGTTGACTAATGAGTTTGCCGACCACTGACCTAGGCTTTCTGTTGAGCACACCAAGCTGGCTCACTTGTCCCTCACCTCCCCTGCCCCCACCCAGATCACTGCATAGCTTGTTCCCTACCTCCGCCATGTCTTTACTCAACTCACCTGAATGAAGCATCCGTGGCCACTCTACTTAAAATAGCAGCCAGTGAATAGTAAAGTACAGCATAGGGAACAGTCAATAATATGTCATAACTATGTATGTTGTCAGATGGGTACAAGACTTGTGGA